TGACTTGTGATCTGTCCGTACTGTCACGTCGGCGCCGGTCAAGTAACAGCGCCACACTTTGAACGCATGCAAGATCGCAAGCATTTCGCGATCGTGTATCGGGTAATTCTTCTCGGGCGGATGCAGTTTTCGTGATTCGTAGGCGATGGGCTGTAACCCGTTGCCGAAGTCCTGTAGCAGTACGGCTCCGATGGCGATGTCGCTTGCGTCAGTAACCACTTCGAATGGGCGGTGTGGGTCGGCGATGCGCAGTACTGGCGGTGAACAGAGAACATTTTTTAGGGTGGAGAAGGCAGCATGCTCTTTCTCCCCCCACGTAAAAGCGACCCCCTTCCTCAGCAAATCCGTAAGCGGGGCCGTTAAGCGTGCCATGTCGGGGACGAACCGGCGCATGTAATTAACAAAACCCAAAAAACTCTGCAGTTTCGTGATGTTCGTCGGGGGGTGCCATGCCTTTACCGTGTCCAATTTCTTCGGGTCGATTTCTACTCCAGCCTCCGAAATAACGTGCCCCAAAAACTCTAGCCTGTCCTGAAAAAACTCGCACTTGGAACCCTTTGTCAGTAGTCTGTGTTTGTCTAGAACTGTAAATACTGCTTCTAAGTCTTCTAAGTGCTGCTGCTTATTGTCAAACATTATATATGTTTCTGTTGTGTAGGCTACAGTGGGTTAGCCTTTGGGGGGTACATTTCACTAGGGTTTACTACTTGTACTCCAACAACTTTCTAGTTCAACACTTCTTGTTTCTGACATGGTATTAAGAGCTTAGGTTCTAGACCTAAGGGCCCACCGTTCCGCTAGAGGTGCCCTCGTGCGCCCCCTTTTTCTTTTAGCGCCCTCGTGCGCCTCTCCCCTAGTGCGCCCTCGTGCGCTCTCCTCTCACGCTGCCCGTGTGCAGCCCGCTAGCAGCCCGAGCGCGGCCCCGCTGTTTTAGCGCGCGCGTAGGAAATCCGCCGCCTAGGGCGGCCCGATTTTTTTCTCGCGAGCCCCAGCAGGCCGTCGCCCATAGGCCCCGCTCGCCCCTAGGCAGACGCGCGACCCACAGCCGCCCGCCCGCAGGTCGCAGCCAGCGCGCCGCGGCGATCGCGCGTCGGCTGCTGCAGCTCGCGCTTAGCCGCCACTAGAAAGCAGCCGCGGCCCGCGCGCAGCCGCACCCTAGGCGCCGCCGCGCACCGTGCATAGGCCCGCCGTCGCGCCGCCATACCCACCCGAGCCGCGCCGCCCGAGTCGCGCCGCCCGAGTCGCGCCGCCCTGACCGAGCCGCGCCGCCCTTCCTGCAGCAACTGCTCTTCCTGCTCCTACTGCTACCACTGTTGCTAATGCTAGTGCTGCAACTGCTACTACTGCTACTGCTACTCCTGCTCCTGCCATATGGCCACTCCCACTGTTCTCTCCTTTGACGCCGAGGGCCGCCCGATTAAGTTCGATGTATGGCTTGATGACCTTCACCTGTACCTCCAGATCACTACCAAGGACGATGTTTCCCTCTATGACCACACGTCAGGCGCTGCTCCCGCACCTCCCACTACTGCTGACAGTACTGCTCGCTCTCAGTGGCAGACCCGTGATGCTCACGCTCGCCTAGCCATTCGCAGCCACCTGCCGTTAGATGAGCGCGAGCACTTCGGCCAGCATAAGACCGCTAAGGAGCTGTACGACGCAGTAGTCGCACGCTACTCCTCCCCTGCCACTGCTACTATAGGCCGTCTCTCACTGCCCTATCTCTTCCCCGACCTGTCCGCGTTTGCCACTGTAGCTGACCTCATCACCCACCTCCGTACCAGTGACCTCCGCTACCGTGCCGCGCTCCCCCCCGATTTCCTCGCCAAGAACCCCCCCCGATGTACCTCACACTGTACCACCTTGTCACCCGCCTCCCTGACTCCCTTCGCACTGTCAGGGACCAGTTCCTCGCTCTCTCCCCCACTGACCTCACTGTCGACCTCCTCGAGAAGGAACTCCTAGCAGCCGAGAAGAGCATTGTAGTTGTAGGTGCCTCTCGTGGTGACCCCCGCACCCCCTTCTTTGAGGGGTGCTCCCCCTCCCCCCCTCCTCCCCTCCATTGCATCTGCTGCTGCTGTCGGCTACCTCGGAGCTGAGGGGGTCGGGGCCGCGTCTTCTCCTAGTGGGAGGCGCAAGGGCAACAGGGGCAAGGGGGGCAGGGGTGGTGGAGGTGGAGGCGGGGGCGGCGGCGGTGGAGGGGGTGGGGGGGGCGGGGGTGGTGGCGGAGGTGGGAGTGGCGCGGGTGGTTGGGGGGTCAGTGGCGGCACAGGGGGTGGTGGCGGCGGCGGCGGTGGTGGGGGTGGTGGGGGCGGTGGGGGCAGTGGTGGCGGCGGTGGAGCGGGTGGCAGGCGCGGTGGGGCGGTGCAGCGTGGGGGGTTCGGCGGTGGCCAGAAGCAGCAGCAGCAGCGTCTCGGCGAGACTCCCTCGCCCCAGCAGCTCCGTGAGTGGTACTCTCAGCGTGGGGGGTCTGGGGGTGGAGGTACCTGCCCGTATGTCATCCGCACAGGTGACCGCACTGGCCAGACTTGTGGGAAGTTTCACTCGGCGCAGCGTTGTTTCTTTTGCCTCGACGACGCCTGGCGTGAGCAGTTCCCTGACGCATCTGAGCTGCCCCGCTGGGCTGATCTGCTTAGGAAGGGGATTGATATCTTTGCTCTTGATTATGATGCTATCCTTGCTGCTATGTATGCATTGACTATTAGTGCTGAGGGTGACTGTTACCTGAGTGTACCGCCCGACCCGGGTATTGGGACCTGTGAGGCTGCAGCTCTAGGTGCTAGCGCGACTGCTGCTCTAGGTCCTGGTGAGGCTGCTGCCCTAGGTGCTAGTGCGTCTACGTCTGTTGGTACCGCACCTACTGAGGCACTGCACACCTTCACACTGGACTCAGGTGCTTCCCGCTGTTTCTTCCGCGACCGCACTGCCCTAGAGCAGCTCCCTAGACCGGTTGCTGTCTCCCTGGCCGACCCCTCAAGGGGTCCGGTCCTTGCGACCTCCGCCACTGCCCTCCCTTGTCCTGCTGTCCCGTCTGGCATGCTGTCGGGCCTCTACCTCCCCTCGTTCTCTACGAACTTGGTGGCGGGTTCCGCGCTCCAGGACGCGGGTGTTCACCAGTTCACCCCGGCCTACGAGCGTGTGACGCACTGCACGTGCGCCCGGACGGGTCGTCACCTGGCTACCTTCACTCGGCAGCCGGGGTCGGACTTGTACACACTGACCACTGAGTCCCCTCAGGTAGCTGCGTCTGCGTCTGCGTCTGCGTCAGGTCAGCTGTCGGCCCCCTGCTCGTGTCGCTCCCTGCCACACAGGACTGTTCTCTGGCACCACCGCCTTGGTCACCCGTCAGTGCAGCGCCTTCGCGGCATGCACTCCAGGTACCTTGTCTCTGGTCTTCCCAGGGTTCTCCCTCCCCTACCACCCTTGCCTGCTCCTCCCTGTCTTCCCTGTGTCGAGGGGCGGCAGCGCGCCGCTCCTCACTCTTCCTCGTTCCCTCCCACAGCGGCTCCCCTGCAGACTCTCCACCTGGACGTGTGGGGCCCCGCCCGCGTCCGGGGACAGGGCCACGAGCGGTACTTTCTGCTGGTCGTCGACGACTACACGCGTTACACCACGGTCTTCCCCTTGCGTACCAAGGGTGAGGTCCCTGATGTCTTGATCCCCTGGATCCGCGCTGCTCGTCTCCAGCTCTGTGAGCGGTTCCAGTCGGACTTTCCAGTCCTCCGTCTGCACTCTGACAGAGGTGGCGAGTTTTCCTCTGACCTCTTGGCAGCCTACTGTGCGGAGCACGGCATCCGCCAGACGTTCACTCTCCCGGCCTCCCCGCAGCAGAATGGGGTTGCTGAGCGCCGCATTGGTCTTGTCATGGAGGTCGCTCGTACCTCCATGATCCATGCGGCTGCCCCCCATTTCCTGTGGCCGTTTGCAGTGCAGTACGCCGCGCATCAACTCAACCTCTGGCCCCGTGTCTCTGTTCCGGAGACCTCGCCTACCCTGCGTTGGACGGGGGAGGTTGGCGATGCGTCGGTGTTTCGAGTCTGGGGATGTCGAGCCTTTGTCCGCGATACGTCCGCGGACAAGCTCTCGTCCCGTGCCGTTCCCTGCGTCTTCCTTGGCCTTGTCCCTGACGCGCCTGGCTGGCAGTTTTACTGTCAAAGTTATATTTAAGATATATCCTGCTTGCTGTAGTTACTGTAGTTATTGTTCTTTGCTGTTGGTGGTGCACCTCTTGCTTGTGTTTCTCGACTATATCTTGTATGCTTTGCTTTAGTGAAGCCAAACTTGTTTGGTCAATTTCTATCGACACTCCCTTGGCCTTGACCTCGACAATAGCTTGGCCTAGGCTACTAAGCCTAGGCCCTCCTTAAATCCGGTTACCAGTTAAGATCGCATCGTAACATGGTATCAGAGCTAGACCGTCCTATGGGCCCACCGCCCCGTGCCCCGATCTAGTCCGTAGCGCCCGTTTGCCCCGCTCGCGTCACCCGTTTTGCCCCGTGCGTCACCAGTTTTCTCACCCGCGCTTCACCCGTTCTCTGCCCCGTGCGTAGCTCGCCAGCCCACTAGCGCACAGCAGACGCATGCGCACGTGCAATCGTAGCCGCACATGCGACCGCGCGCACGCGCATCATTAGCCGCATGCACGTGCAGCATTAGCCGCACGCACGCGTGACATTAGCAGCACGCACGGGCGGCCATAGCTGCACGCACGCGCAGCAATAGCCACTCGCACGCGCAGCTCGTCAGCTGCGCTACCGTCTCACCCGTCCCCGCTGACCCACCCGGTGCCTGTTGTACCACCCGTTCCAGTCACCTCACCCTGAAGTCAGCCGCCCCACCAGCTACTTTACCCCACCCAGAACCGTACAGCACCGCGGAGAATCGGGAATGAAGGGGACGGCGTCCGTGGCGGTCGTCGCGGCCCTCCCCCCCCCCCCGTCCCGCTTTCTTCCCTCCCGTCGCCTCGCTCCGCCCGTCGCATTCCCCCACCCCCTTGCCCATCACCCCCCCCCCCCCCCGTCGCGACTGTTCGCGTGTGCAGCGGCTGTCGCTGTGGGTGGGAGAGGGAGGAGGGGAAGGGATTGGCGGTGGAACGCTGTAGGGGGAGAGGGAAAGGGGGAAGGGAGTGGCGGCGGAATGCTGTGGGGGAGAGAGGAAAAGGGGGAAGGGAGTGGCGGCGGAACACCAGCACCAGCACCAGGCACCAGCACCGGCGCCAGCCGCCAGCACCAGCACCAGCTCCAGGGCCAGCCGCCAGCACCAGCTCCAGGGCCAGCCGCCAGCACCAGCACCAGCACCAGGGCCAGCCGCCAGCACCAGCACCAGCTCCAGGGCCAGCCGCCAGCATCAGCAACAGCTCCAGGGCCAGCCGCCAGCACCAGCACCAGCACTAGGGCCAGCCGCCAGCACCAGCACCAGCGCCAGGGCCAGCCGCCAGCACCAGCACCAGCTCCAGGGCCAGCCGCCAGCACCAGCTCCAGGGCCAGCCGCCAGCACCAGCACCAGCTCCAGGGCCAGCCGCCAGCACCAGCACCAGCTCCAGGGCCAGCCGCCAGCACCAGCACCAGCTCCAGGGCCAGCCGCCAGCACCAGCACCAGCACCAGGGCCAGCCGCCAGCACCAGCACCAGCTCCAGGGCCAGCCGCCAGCACCAGCACCAGGGCCAGCCGCCAGCACCAACACCAGCTCCAGGGCCAGCCGCCAGCACCAGCACCAGCTCCAGGGCCAGCCGCCAGCACGAGACCCCGCCAGCAGAGAACCCCGCCAGCAGAGAACCCCACCAGCAGAGAACCCCGCCAGCAGAGAACCCCGCCAGCAGAGAACCCCACCAGCAGAGAACCCCGCCAGCAGAGAACCCCGCCAGCAGAGAACCCCGCGAGCAGAGCACCACCCTCTGCCCTGCCTCTCCCCTCCCGCGGCTGCTACTGTGGGGGGTAGGTGGCGGGAGCGGGGGGGTGGGAGGGCTGGCTGCAGTGTGAAGGACAGGGCAGAGACAACTGTGGGTTGGGCAGGGGTGTGGAGGAAGGAAGGGAGGGAGGGGGTGCGGTTCCAGGGGGTGGCTGAAATGGGGGGTGAGGTTGAAGGAGGGTGGTTGATTGGGGGTGGGGATGTGGGGGTTAGTAAGAAGGGACGCTGCGGCCACCCCCCCACCTCCTCTCCTCATCCCCCACTCAACCCCCCTTTCGTAAAAGGGGGTTAGTAAGAGGGGACGCCGCCCCCTTCATTCCCGATTCTGGTGTCAGGAATGGTGCTGCTGGAGGTGCTGCTGGTGCTGCTGGAGGTACTGGAGCTGCTGGAGGTGCTGCTGGCGCTGGTTCGACTGGAGGTTCTGGTGCTGCTGGAGGTGCTGCTGGTGCTGCTGGAGGTACTGGAGCTGCTGGAGGTGCTGCTGGCGCTGGTTCGGCTGGCGGTTCTGGTCCTGTCTCTGCTGCTTCTGGGGGCACTTCACGGCCGCGGCCGTACTTCGTTCCGCTCCTTCAGCAGGTTCTTGGTCAGCCGCCTCCTCCTAGTCCTCCGCCCTCCTTAGAGTGTCCTCTGCCTGTCCAGTCACAGTCACAGCTACCGCCTGCCTCGCCACTTCCTGGTCCTTCTCCCTACACTGGTCCGACAGGCGGTCTTACAGAGCGTCGTGAGCCTGAGTCCCGTCCTGTGTCACCTGTGTCTCGTCCTGTGTCACCTGTTCGTGCTACTCGCACTGGTCGCCGTGTTCCACGTGAGCGTCCTCCCCCTGTCCCTGGCACACACTCTATGACTCTGCGTCCTTCCACTGCTCCACAGCGTGTCCCTCTGCCGTCTCCTCCTGCGTCCTCTCTTCCTGCTCTTGCTGACCCGGAGTCTGACCGGGTTCGTGCTGCCAGTCCTACTGTCACGCGTCTCCTGGCCAGTGCTGTCACTGACCCTTCCTTTGAGTCTGCTGCTGCGTCTGCCCTAGTTGCTGAGCTTGTCGACTTTGCTGCTCACTGTCGTCTAGACTACACCGCCAGTCTTGTTGCTGAGTCTCCGTCTGTCTGTCCTCCGTCCGTCGGGGGTGAGTGTGCTCTAGGCACGGACGTCCTTGAGGACAGACAGGAGGACCTTGAGTGTCTTGCAGCCGCTGCGCCTCATCTCGTGTCCATGCTGATTGCCCCTAAGGGAGACCCGGATGCTCCAGACATCCCGACCCCGCGCTCTTACGCTGAGGCGATCGCGGGTGAGTACTCCTCTCAGTGTCAGTCAGCCATGGATGCAGAGATGGCATCCTGGAAGTCCACTGGCACTTACGTCGACGAGGTTCCCCCTCCTGGGGCGAACATCGTCAGTGGCATGTGGATTTTCAGGGTGAAGCGGCCGCCAGGTTCCCCGCCTGTCTTTAAGGCTCGTTACGTTGGTCGAGGCTTCAGCCAGCGAGAGGGAGTAGACTTCTTTCAGACCTTCTCCCCCACCCCGAAGATGACCACTCTTCGGGTGCTACTACACGTTGCTGCTCAGCGTGACTACGAGCTTCACTCTCTTGACTTCAGCACAGCTTTCTTGCAGGGCAGCCTGCACGAGGAGATCTGGCTGCGCCGCCCTCCTGGCTTCACCGGGTCGTTTCCTCCTGGTACCCAGTAGAGCCTCCGACGGCCGGTCTACGGTCTCCGCCAGGCGCCAGGCACGACACACTGAGGACTAGTCTTGCGGCACTTGGGTTCACGCCTTCTACTGCTGACCCGTCACTGTTTTTGCGCACCGACACTTCTTTGCCGCCGTTCTACATCCTCGTATACGTCGACGACTTGGTCTTTGCCACTGCTGACACTGAGGCTCTCGCCCACGTGAAGTCCGAGCTGCAGAAGAGACACACGTGCACAGACCTGGGTGAACTGCGCAGCTACCTTGGCTTGCAGATCACCCGGGACAGAGCACGCCGCACCATCACACTGACTCAGTCACACATGGTGCAGCAGGTCCTTCAGCGCTTCGGCTTCACCTGGTCCACAGCACAGGCCACTCCTCTGGCTATAGGTCACTCGCTCTCAGCTCTGCCTTCGGATGAGTCCGTAGAGCCGAGTGGTCCTTACCCAGAGCTAGTTGGTTGCCTCATGTACCTGATGACTTGCACTCGTCCTGACCTAGCATACCCTCTTGGCCTTCTGGCCCGCCATGTGGCTCCTGGCAGGCACCGAAAGGTGCACTGGGATGCTGCAAAGAGGGTATTGCGCTACTTGTGCAGTACATCGGGCATGGGGCTCGTGCTTGGAGGAGGGAGCCCAGTTGTTCTCACTGGGCACTCAGACGCTTCTTGGGTTGACGACCAGGCTACTCAGCGGTCGTCACAGGGTTACACCTTCAGTCTTGGCTCTGGCTCAATTTCTTGGCGTTCTACGCGTTCGTCTTCAGTTCTCAGCTCCAGTTGTGAGGCTGAGATCTACGCCACAGCCATGGCTCCACAGGAGTTACGCTGGCTCACCTACCTACTGACTGACCTGGGAGAGCGGCCTCGTTCTCCTCCAGTGCTGTACGTTGACAACAAGGCTGCCATTGCCTTGTGTGAGGAGCATAGACTGGAGCACAGGACGAAGCACATCGCTCTACGTTACTTTCTGGCTCGAGAGTTGCAGCAGCGGTCAGCTTCGTCTGCGTTTTGTGGCCTCTCAGGCCAACACTGCTGATATATTCACCAAGGCACTTCAGTCTGGTGATCATCAGCGTTTCTGCACTTTGCTAGGACTTGTGCCCACTTTTCCTCACTTGTTGTAGACCTTGCCTGTACTGTGATCTATATATCTATACCTGCATACTTGCTAGACATAGATCACTGTGATGTTTGTACGATATATATGCCTCTGCATGTGAACTGGCCTTGTGGTCCTTTGCTTGTGCTCAGAGTGTGTGGTGACATTGTGATCCACCCTGAGCTTGCTTTGGTTTTCTTGACTAGTCCTGTGACCCCTTGTTCTCCCCCACTTAGCCTATGGGGGTGTGTCAAACATTATATATGTTTCTGTTGTGTAGGCTACAGTGGGTTAGCCTTTAGGGGGTACATTTCACTAGGGTTTACTACTTGTACTCCAACAACTTTCTAGTTCAACACTTCTTGTTTCTGACACTTATCCCGACTGTAGACTAGGATGTCGTCGAGGTAGATGATAACGCATTTATCTAAGAGTGGCCTAAACGCCTCGTTCATCGTCATCTGAAAAGTCGCCGGTGCGTTGGTCAGCCCGAAAGGCATTACCGTGTATTCGAACGACCCGTACCTAGTCCTAAAAGCCGTTTTGGCGCAGTCCGACGGTTCGACCCTAATCTGGTGGTAACCTCCCCGTAAGTCAATTTTTGAAAAGACTCGTGCTGTTCGCAGTTGATCTATCAGTTCGTCAGCTCGGGGGATGGGGTATCGCGATTTAACTGTAACCCTGTTCAGTGCTCGGTAGTCGATACACATGCGAAACCCGCCGTCTTTTTTCGGTGTGAACAGTATCGGTGCGGCGAATGGCGATGAGCTTGGTCGGATGAATTTTTCTCTAACAGGTAATCTAACTGCTTCCTTAGCTCGTCGAGCTCAGGCTGTGTCAGTCTGAACTGTCGCTGTACGGTTGGCTGTGCCCCGGGCTCTAATTCTATTCGGTGATCGTGCGCCCGCTGAGGTGGCAGTCCTTCGGGTAAGTCGTCAGGGAAGATTCCCGGGAATCGTTTCAACAGTTCCTGTAGTTCCGATGGTACGGCCGCTAGTAGTTTTTGGAAATCACTCGGCTTGTCTGCTTCTTCCACTATCGCAATATCCACTGCGTACACGTCAGCTCCAGCGGCGACAGCCCGTTTCATCGTGATGGCGTTGACGTGGATCGTTGAAGACTCAGGCGACTGCCAGCGAGGTAGCTCCACCCAGTTACCGCTACTTCGCACAGTGCAGCTGCCTGTCGTCCAGTCGATTCGCGGGTTGTATCGTCGCAGCCAATCACGTCCCAGTAAAATGTCGTGCCCATCCAACGTCGTCGCGAGCATTTCCTGTGTAAACCCGAAATTCCCCCCACAGCGGACTTTTACTCTTTCCACTTTCTCCCGTATGGCCAGCGGCGTTCCGTCAACTAAGCGTGCATCGATCTCTGGCAAGCACCGACTAAGTGTCAGTTGCACCTTCCTCGCAGTCGCGGTATTAACTAAGCTGTGACTTGCACCTCCGTCTATAAAAATCTTCACTGCTGCTCCCTGTATTTTCCCGTGAATCAGTACTGGGCAATCCGTCGCTGTACCCTCCTTATTCGTCCGAGCCCGATCGATAGCGTGAATCGGTACTGTGACTCGGTGAGGGTCGGTGAAGTTGGGCGAGCAGGCAGTCTCGTCAGTAGTTGGCCCAACTTCTACTGATTGCTGGCGTTTCCCGGCCTCTGAGACTCTCGCCCCTGCTCTATTCCACGGCGCCTTAGCTCCTCTGGACATTCACTTTTGCGATGGCCCGGCCTATTGCAAGCAAATCAGCGCCTCTTAAACGGTGCGGCAGCTGCATTCGTCGCAACGGCGTGTACGGTGGCGTGCTCGGTCGGCCCCCGAGGACGTTGTCCGTAGTAGGACCCCGGTCTCGGTCGCCGTAGGATGTCGATTTTCTCGGCGAGCGCGAGGATCTCGTTGAAATTCGAGAGCCTGCGTAGCATAATTTCGTGCGATATGTCCGGCTTTAGCCCTCCGACGTAACGGTCCACCCGCTCCGCTTCGTGCATATAGCCGACTTGTTCGCATAGTGCGAGAAAGCCGCTAGTGTAATCTTGAACCAACCCGAGCTGCCGCCAAGTGCGCAGCTTCTGACGCGCCGAAATCGAAGCCGCGATCGGCTCGAAACGCGCCCGAAGCCCTGCGCACCACACATCCCACGTGCTGTATTGGGCTGTCTCGCAGAATGAACTCCAGGTGACGGCTGGGCCCGTAAGCCCGTCTTCGTGCGACGGTGGCTCGTAGGCGCGTGGCGACGTCACGATGACTCGCCACCAGTCCATGGCGGGGCCCCTCAGCAGCGAAACAGCATAGCGAATCTTCGCTGCGTCCGACTCGACGTAATTGGCGTCGAAAAACAAGTTCATCGTGAAGACCCATGACTGAACCATCGGACCCCCACGCTGGCTCGGGTCGAAACAGGGCGGACGCTGCGGCTTGAGTGGCATTGGTGCCGTGACAGCATATTCGCCACTTGTCGCCGCAAATTCCACGTGC